GGAGATCTATGATTTCGAGACGCAAAATCAAGGAAGTAGAACGATTGAAAGGAACAGTGGAGATGCTATCTATAATTTCGAGACACCTAGGAAATAGGAACGATTAGAAAGGAACAGTGGAGATATCTATGATTTGAGACACCAAAATCAAAAGGAAGTAGAACGATTGAAAGGAACAATGGAGATACTATCTATGATTTCGAGACACCAAAATCAAGGAAGTAAGACGATTGAAGGAAAGGAATGCTAGGAGATGCTATCTATGATGCTATCTATGATTTCAAGACACCAAAATCAAGGAAGTAGAACGATTGAAAGGAACAGTGGAGATGCTATCTATTATTTCGAGACACCAAATCTAAAGGAAGTAGAACGATTGAAAGGAACAGTGGAGGATGCTATCTATGATTTCGAGACACCAAAATCAAGGAAGTAGAACGATTGAAAGGAACAGTGGAGATGCTATCTATTATTTCGAGACAAAATCAAAGGAAGTAGAACGATTGAAAGGAAACAAAGGAGATGCTATCTATGATTTCGAGACACCAAAATCAAGGAAGTAGAGCGATTGAAAGGAACAGGAGATGCGATCGTTTCGAGACACCAAAATCTCAAGGAAGTAGAAATGATTGAAAGAACAGTGGAGATGCAATCTATGTTTTCGAGACACTAAAAAAATGATTTCGAGACACCAAATCAAGGAAGTAGAACGATTGAAAGGAACAGTGGAATGCTATCTATGATTTCGAGACACCAAAATCAAGGAAGTAGAACGATTGAAAGGAACAGTGGAAGATGCAATCTATGTTTTCGAGACACTAAAATCAAGGAAGTAGAACGATTGAAAGGAACAGTGGAGATGCTATCTATGATTTCGAGACACCAAAATCAAGGAAGTAGAACGATTGAAAGGAACAGTGGAGATGCTATCTATGATTTCAAGAACACAAAAAATCAAGAAGTAGAACGATTGAAAAGGAACAGGAGATGCTATCTATGATTTCGAGACACCAAAATCAAGGAAGTAGAACGATTGAAAGAGAATCTATGATTGGAGGATGCGATTCTGGAGATGATTGAGACACCAAAATCAAGGAAGTAGAACGATTTGAAAGAGAACAGTGGAGATGAAAGGAACAGTGGAATGCCTCTATGATTTCAAGACACAAAATCAAGGAAGTAGAACGATTGAAAGGAACAGTGGAGATGCCATTTATTATTTCGAGACACCAAAATCAAGGAAGTAGAAACGATTGAGAGAAAGGAGATGCTATCTATGATTTGAGACACCAAAATCAAAAGGAAGTAGAACGATTGAAAGGAAACGGTGGAGATGCTATCATGATTTCGAGACACCAAAATCAAGGAAGCAGAACGATTGAAAAGGAACAGCGGAGATGCTATCTATGATTTCGAGACACCAAAATCAAAGGGAAGTAGAACGATTTGAAAGGAACAGTGGAGATGCTATCCTATGATTTCGAGACGCAAAATCCAAGGAAGAACGATTGAAAGGAACAGTGGAGATGCTATTTATTATTTCGAGACACCAAAATCAAAGTAGAACGATTGAAAGGAACAGTGAGATGCTATTTATGATTTCGAGACACCAAAATCAAGGAAGTAGAACGATTGAAAGGAACAGTGGAGATGCTATCTATGATTTCGAGACACCAAAATCAAAGAAGTAGAACGATTGAAAGGAACAGTGGAGATGCTATCTATGATTTCCGGACACCAAATCAAGGAAGCAGGAACGATTGAAAGGAACAGTGGAGATGCTATCTATGATTTCTGAGACACCAAAATCAAAAGGAAGTACAGAACGATTGAAAGGAACAGTGGAGATGCTATCTATGATTTCGAGACACAAAATCAAAGAAGTAGAACGATTGAAAGGAACAGCGGAGATGCTATCTATGATTTCGAGACACCAAAATCAAGGAAGTAGAACGATTGAAAGGAACAGCGGAGATGCTATCTATGATTTCGAGACGCAAAATCAAGGAAGTAGAACGATTGAAAGGAACAGCGGATGCTTATCTATGATTTCTGAGACACCAAAATCAAGGAAGTATAGAACGATTGAAAGGAACAGCGAGATGCTATCTATGATTTCGAGACACCAAAATCAAAGAAGTAGAACGATTGAAAGGAACAGCGGAGATGCTATCTATGATTCTGAGACATAAAATCAAGGAAGTAGAACGATTGAAAGGAACAGTGGAGATGCTATCTATGATTTCGAGACACCAAAATCAAGGAAGTAGAACGATTGAAAGGAACAGTGGAGATGCTATCTATGATTTCGAGACACCAAAATCAAGGAAGTAGAACGATTGAAAGGAACAATTGGAGATGCTATCTATGATTTCGAGACACCAAAATCAAGGAAGTACGATTGAAAGGAACAGTGGAGATACTTATGATTTCGAGACACCAAAATCAAGGAAGTAGAACGATTGAAAGGAACAGTGGAGATGCTATCTATTATTTCGAGACACACCAAAATCAAAGGAAGTAGAACGATTGAAAGGAACAGTGGAGATGCTATCTATGATTTCGAGACACCAAAATCAAGGAAGTAGAACGATTGAAAGGAACAGTGGAGATGCTATCTATGATTGAGACACCAAAAATCAGACACTAAAAGAGGGGAAGTAGAACGATTGAAAGGAACAGTGGAGATGCTATCTATGATTTCGAGACACCAAAAATAGAAAGGAAATGGAGATGAACGATTGAAAGGAACAGTGGAGATGCTATCTATGATTTCGAGACACCAAAATCAAGGAAGTAGAACGATTGAAAGGAACAGTGGAGATGCTATCTATGATTTCGAGACACCAAAATCAAGGAAGTAGAACGATTGAAAGGAACAGTGGAGATGCTATCTATGATTTCAAGACAAAATCAAAATCAAGGAAGTGGAGAACGATTGAAAGGAACAGTGGAGATGCTATCTATGATTTCAAGACACCAAAATCAAGGAAGTAGAACGATTGAAAGGAACAGTGGAGATGCTATCTATTATTTCGAGACACCAAAATCAAGGAAGTAGAACGATGAAAGGAACAGTGGAGATGCTATCTAATTTCAAGACACCAAAAAGGAAGTAGAACGATTGAAAGGAACAGTGGAGATGCTATCTATGATTTCGAGACACCAAAAATCAAGGAAGTAGAACGATTGAAAGGAACAGTGGAGATGCTATCTATGATTTCGAGACACCAAAATCAAGGAAGTAGAACGATTGAAAGGAACAGTGGAGATGCTATCTATGATTTCGAGACACCAAAATCAAGGAAGTAGAACGATTGAATGGAACAGCGGAGATGCTATCTATGATTTCAAGACACCAAAATAGAACAAGGAAAGTGGAGAACGACACCAAAATTGAAAGGAACAGTGGAGATGCTATCTATGTTTTAATTTAAAATCAAGGAATAGAACGATTATGGAGATTTCTATGATTTCGAGACACCAAAATCAAGGAAGTAGAACGATTGAAAGGAACAGTGGAGATGCTATCTATGATTTCAAGACACCAAAATCAAGAAGTAGAACGATTGAATGGAACAGTGGAGATGCTATCTATGATTTCGAGACACCAAAATCAAAGGAAGTAGAACGATTGAAAGGAACAGTGGAATGCTATCTATGATTTCAAGACACCAAATCAAGGAAGTAGAACGATTGAAAGGAACAGTGGAGATGCTATCTATGATTTCAAAGACACCAAAATCAGGAAGTAGAACGATTGAAAGGAACAGTGGAGATGCTATCTATGATTTCGAGACACCAAAATCAAGGAAGTAGAACGATTGAAAGGAACAGTGGAGATGCTATCTATGATTTGAGACACCAAAATCAAGGAAGTAGAACGATTGAAAGGAACAGTGGAGATGCTATCTATGATTTCGAGACACCAAAATCAGGAAGTAGAACGATTGAAAGGAACAGTGGAGATGCTATCTATGATTTCGAGACACAAAATCAAGGAAAGTAGAACGATTGATTTCGAAGGAACAGTGGAGATTGCTATCTATTGATTTGAGACACCAAAATCAAGGAAGTAGAACGGGACAAAAGGAACAGTGGAGATGCTATCTATGATTTCAAGGAAGTAGAACAAAATAGTGAGATGAAATGACACCAAAAAGATGCTTATCTATGATTTCGAGACACCAAAATCAGGAAGTAGAACGATTAAAAGGAACAGTGGAATGCTATCTATGATTTCCGAAGTTACCAAAATCAAGGAAGTAACGATTGAAAGGAACAGTGGAGATGCTATCTATGATTTAAGAGACACCAAATCAAGGAAGATAGAACGATTGAAAGGAACATTGGAGATGCTATCTATTATTTCGAGACACCAAAATCAAAAGGAGTAGAACGATTGAAAGGAACAGTGGAGATGCTATCTATGATTTCGAGACACCAAAATCAAGGAAGTAGAACGATTGAAGGAACAGTGGAGATGCTATCTATTATTTCGAGACACCAAAATCAAGGAAGTAGAACGATTTGAAAAGGAACAGTGAGATGCTATCTATGATTTCGAGACACCAAAATCAAAATTAGTAGAAATTGAAACGAACAGTGGAGATGCTATCTATGATTTCGACACCAAATTGTTAAAAGGAACAGTGGAGATGCTATTTATTATTTCGAGACACCAAAATCTAACGATTGAAAGGAACAGTGGAGATGCTATCTATTATTTCGAGACACCAAAAATGAAAGGAACAGTAGCTATCTATGACGAGTTTTTAAAATCAAAAGTAGAACGGAACAGTGGAGATGCTATCTATGATTTCGAGACACCAAAATCAAGGAAGTAGAAACGATTGAAAGGAACAGTGGAGATGCTATCTATGATTTCGAGACACCAAAATCAAGGAAGTAGAACGATTGAAAGGAACAGTGGAGATGCTATCTATGATTTCGAGACACCAAAATCAAGGAAGTAGAACGATTGAAAAGGAACAGTGGAGATGCTATCTATGATTTCGAGACGCAAAATCAAGGAAGTAGAACGATTGAAAGGAACAGTGGAGATGCTATCTATGATTTCGAGGACACCAAAATCGGAAGTAGAACGATTGAAAGGAACAGTGGAGATGCTATCTATGATTTCAAGACACCAAAATCAAGGAAGTAGAACGATTAGAGAAAGGAACAGTGGAGATGCTATCTATGATTTCGAGACACCAAAAATCAAGGAAGTAGAACGATTGAAAGGAACAGTGGAGATGCTATCTATGATTTCGAGACACCAAAATCAAGGAAGTAGAACGATTGAGACACCAAAAATCAAGGAACAGTGGAACAGCGATGCTATCTATGATTTTGAGGACTCAAAAATCAAGGAAGTAGAACGATTGAAAGGAACAGTGGAGATGCTATCTATGATTTCGAGACACCAAAATCAAGGAAGTAGAACGATTGAAAGGAACAGTGGAGATGCTATATGATTTTCTGAGACACCAAAATCAAGGGAAGTAGAACGATTGAAAGGAACAGTGGAGATGCTATCTATGATTTTCAGACAGAAACCAAAATCAAAGGAAATTGAAAGAACGATTGACACCAAAAAAGGAAGCAGAACGATTGGAGATGCTATCTATGATTTCGAGACACCAAAATCAAGAAGTAGAACGATTGAAAGGAACAGTGGAGATGCTATCTATTATTTCGAGACACCAAATCAAGGAAGTAGAACGATTGAAAGGAACAGCGGAGATGCTATCTATGATTTCGAGAGACACCAAAATCAGGAAGTAAGACGATTGAAAGGAACAGTGGAGAGTTTGCAAAATCTGTGATTGAAAGGAACAGGCAATCTACCAAAATCAAGGAAGTAGAACGATTGAAAGGAACAGTGGAGATGCTATCTATGATTTCGAGACACCAAAAATCAAGGAAGTAGAACGATTGAAAGGAACGGTGGAATGCTATCTATGATTTCGAGACACCAAATCAGGAAGTAGAACGATTGAAAGGAACAGTGGAGATGCTATCTATGATTTGAGACACCAAAATCAAGGAAAGTAGAACGATTGAAAGGAACAGTGGAGATGCTATCTATGATTTCAAGACACCAAAATCAAGGAAGTAGAACGATTAGGAACAGTGGAGATGCTATCTATTTCAAGGAACCAAAAATCAAGAAGTAGAACGATTGAAAGGAACAGTGGAGATGCTATCTATGATTTCGAGACACCAAAATCAAAAAGTAGAACGATTGAAAGGAACAGTGGAGATGCTATCTATTATTTCAGACTTTTAAATCAAGGAAGTAGAACGATTGAAAGGAACAGCGGAGATGCTATCTATTATTTCAGAGACACCAAAATCAAGTACAGAACGATTGAAAGGAACGATTAGAGATACCTCTATGATTTCAGACACCAAAATCAAGGAAGTAGAACGATTGAAAGGAACAGTGGAGATGCTATTTATGATTTCAGAGACACCAAAATCAAGGAAGTAGAACGATTGAAAGGAACAGTGGAATGCTATTTATTATTTCGAGACACCAAAATCAAGGAAGTAGAACGATTAGAAAGGAACAGTGGAGATGCTATCTATGATTTCGAGACACCAAAATCAAAAAGTGGAGAACGATTGACACCAAATCAAAAAGGAACGATTGAAGAACGGGAGATGCTATCTATGATTTCGAGACACCAAATCAAGAAGTAGAACGATTGAAGAACAGTGGAGATGCTATCTATAATTTCGAGACACTAAAATCAAGGAAGTAGAACGATTGAAGGAACGGTGGAGATGCTATCTATGATTTCGAGACACCAAAATCAAAGAAGTAGAACATTGAAAGGAACGGCGGAGATGCTATTTATGATTTCGAGACACCAAAATCAAGGAAGTAGAACGATTGAAAGGAACAGTGGAGATACTATCAATGAATTTCGAGACACCAAAATCAAGGAAGTAGAACGATTGAAAGGAACATGGAGATGCTATCTATGATTTCCGAGACACCAAAATCAAGGAAGTAGAACGATTAGAAAGGAACAGCGGAGATGCTATCTGTGATTTCGAGACACCAAAATCAAAGAAGTAGAACGATTGAAAGGAACAGCGGAGATGCTATTATCTGCTTCAATTCCGAGACACCAAATCAAAGGAAGTAGAACGATTGAAAGGAACAGCGGAGATGCTATCTATAATTTCCCGAGACACTAAAATCCAAGGAAGTAGAACGATTAGAAAGGAACAGCGGAGATGCTATCTATGATTTCGAGACACCAAAATCAAAGTAGAACGATTGAAAGGAACAGCGGAGATGCTATCTATGATTTCAGACACCAAAATCCAAGGAAGTAGAACGATTGAAAGGAACAGTGGAGATGCTATCTATTATTTCGAGACACCAAAAATCAAGGAAGTAGAACGATTGAAAGGAACAGTGGAGATGCTATCTATGATTTCGAGACACCAAAATCAAGGAAGTAGAACGATTGAAAGGAACAGTGGAGATGCTATCTATTATTTCGAGACACCAAAATCAAGGAAGTAGAACGATTGAAAGGAACAGTGGAGATGCTATCTATGATTTCGAGACACCAAAATCAAGGAAGTAGAACGATTGAAAGGAACAGTGGAGATGCTATCTATGATTTCGAGACACCAAAATCAAGGAAGTAGAACGATTGAAAGGAACAGTGGAGATGCTATCTATGATTTCGAGACACCAAAAAATCAAGGAAGTAGAACGATTGAAAGGAACAGTGGAGATGCTATCTATGATTTGAGACACCAAAATCAAGGAAGTAGAACGATTGAAAGGAACAGTGGAGATGCTATCTATGATTTCGAGACACCAAAATCAAGGAAGTAGAACGATTGAAAGGAACAGTGGAGATGCTATCTATGATTTCGAGACACCAAAATCAAGGAAGTAGAACGATTGAAAGGAACAGTGGAGATGCTATCTATGATTTCGAGACACCAAAAGGAAGTAGAACGATTGAAAGGAACAGTGGAGATGCTATCTATGATTTCACACCAACACAAGGAAGTAGAACGATTGAAAAAATGCTATCTATGATTTCGAGAAGTAGAACGATTGAAAGGAACAGTGGAGATGCTATCTATGATTTCGAGACACCAAAAATCAAGGAAGTAGAACGATTGAAAGGAACAGTGGAGATGCTATCTATGATTTCGAGACACCAAAATCAAGGAAGTAGAACGATTGAAAGGAACAGTGGAGATGCTATCTATTATTTCGAGACACCAAAATCAAGGAAGTAGAACGATTGAAAGGAACAGTGGAGATGCTATCTATGATTTCGAGACACCAAAATCAAGGAAGTAGAACGATTGAAAGGAACAGTGGAGATGCTATCTATGATTTCGAGACACCAAAATCAAGGAAGTAGAACGATTGAAAGGAACAGTGGAGATGCTATCTATTATTTCGAGACACCAAAATCAAGGAAGTAGAACGATTGAAAGGAACAGTGGAGATGCTATCTATGATTTCGAGACACCAAAATCAAGGAAGTAGAACGATTGAAAGGAACGATTGAAAGGAAAGTGGAGATGCTATCTATGATTTCGAGACACCAAAATCAAGGAAGTAGAACGATTGAAAGGAACAGTGGAGATGCTATCTATTATTTCGAGACACCAAAATCAAGGAAGTAGAACGATTGAAAGGAACAGTGGAGATGCTATCTATGATTTTGAGACACCAAAATCAAGGAAGTAGAACGATTGAAAGGAACAGTGGAGATGCTATCTATGATTTCGAGACACCAAAATCAAGGAAGTAGAACGATTGAAAGGAACAGTGGAGATGCTATCTATGATTTCGAGACACCAAAATCAAGGAAGTAGAACGATTGAAAGGAACAGTGGAGATGCTATCTATGATTTCGAGACACCAAAATCAAGGAAGTAGAACGATTGAAAGGAACAGTGGAGATGCTATCTATGATTTCAAGACACCAAAATCAAGGAAGTAGAACGATTGAAAGGAACAGTGGAGATGCTATCTATTATTTCGAGACACCAAAATCAAGGAAGTAGAACGATTGAAAGGAACAGTGGAGATGCTATCTATGATTTCGAGACACCAAAATCAAGGAAGTAGAACGATTGAAAGGAACAGTGGAGATGCTATCTATTATTTCGAGACACCAAAATCAAGGAAGTAGAACGATTGAAAGGAACAGCGGAGATGCTATCTATGATTTCGAGACACCAAAAATCAAGGAAGTAGAACGATTGAAAGGAACAGTGGAGATGCTATCTATGATTTCGAGACACCAAAATCAAGGAAGTAGAACGATTGAAAGGAACATGGAGATGCTATCTATGATTTCGAGACACCAAAATCAAGGAAGTAGAACGATTGAAAGGAACAGTGGAGATGCTATCTATGATTTCGAGACACCAAAATCAAGGAAGTAGAACGATTGAAAGGAACAGTGGAGATGCTATCTATGATTTCGAGACACCAAAATCAAGGAAGTAGAACGATTGAAAGGAACAGTGGAGATGCTATCTATGATTTCGAGACACCAAAATCAAGGAAGTAGAACGATTGAAAGGAACAGTGGAGATGCTATCTATTATTTCGAGACACCAAAATCAAGGAAGTAGAACGATTGAAAGGAACAGTGGAGATGCTATCTAGAGACACCAATTTCAAGACACGATTGAAAATCAGTGGAGGAAGATTTAGACACCAAAACAAGGAAGTAGAACGATTGAAGGAACAGTGGAGATGCTATCTATGATTTCGAGACACCAAAATCAAGGAAGTAGAACGATTGAAAGGAACAGTGGAGATGCTATCTATTATTTCGAGACACCAAAATCAAGGAAGTAGAACGATTGAAAGGAACAGTGGAGATGCTATCTATGATTTCGAGACACCAAAATCAAGGAAGTAGAACGATTGAAAGGAACAGTGGAGATGCTATCTATGATTTCGAGACACCAAAAATCAAGGAAGTAGAACGATTGAAAGGAACAGTGGAGATGCTATCTATGATTTCTTTGAGACACCAAAATCAAGGAAGTAGAACGATTGAAAGGAACAGTGGAGATGCTATCTATGATTTCAAGACACCAAATAGAACGATTGAAAAGGAACGATGGAGATGCTATCTATGATTTCGAGACACCAAAATCAAGGAAGTAGAACGATTGAAAGGAACAGTGGAGATGCTATCTATGATTTCGAGACACCAAAATCAAGGAAGTAGAACGATTGAAAGGAACAGTGGAGATGCTATCTATGATTTCGAGACACCAAAATCAAAAGTAGAACGATTGAAAGGAACAGTGGAGATGCTATCTATGATTTCGAGACACCAAAATCAAGGAAGTAGAAGGAAAGGAACAGTGGAGATGCTATCTATGATTTCGAGACACCAAAATCAAGGAAGTAGAACGATTGAAAGGAACAGTGGAGATGCTATCTATGATTTGAGAC